AGTGGAAATCAATATAAATGAGAGGAAATGACAACACGGGGGTTTGAATACAAGACCTTATACTTTAATACTATCTTTAACATGAATAAACTATGAGTTTAAGCTTTTGGGTTCATTGGTAATTTATTTATGTTTAAAAATATTGACATTTTTTTTTAACATAGTAATCAGTTGATATTTTTCTCTTTAGTTTACTGCGTCAATAGACTGGATTAGATTTAGATATGAGTAAACGATAGAAGATATTGGTAAATTTTTGAATTGGTTAAATGACCGGTGATGTTTAATAAATTCTAGAAACCAAATTGGAATTGAGTTGAAACCATATAGATAAGTTGGAACTTTTAGTCATAATTGAAAATTTTTAAACTATATATATGAAATTGAAATTATAGCTAAATATAGGGACCAAATTGCAATTTGGGCAAAAAAAGTGAAGAAGATAAACCTAAGACTATGAGTGTGGATACCGAGGGCTTGGAAAAGGCCATATAAGAAAGTTCCAATTAGAGAAATGACAAACAAAAATAAACAAAACTCCACAAAATTCTCCTCTTTTTATTTATTTGTAGCCGTTTTATTGGCTGTTTCTTTTTCATCATTTCCATTTGCTATTTTTTATTTGTTTTCTTACTCCATAATTCGCACTCTAAAACCAATATTCCAATCATAATTCTTTGCATTTTCTATCAATTTTTTAATGCCAAAAGTATGTTACCCGTATAATAATTTTGGGCATTATGATATTAAAAGGTTGTTTTCGGCCAAAGCGAACCTAGCTCAGCAATAATTGACATATATTTCAAACGAAGAGGGTGTGAGTTCGATCCCTCACCCCCACATGTTGTACTAACAAAATTATTATTACTATTACTGGTTTTTAAACGAGTAATGAGTTGGAAATTAAAAAAACCAAATCATCAGATTTTTATGATTTAAACTTAATTTAAATTCGATTCTTTTAATTTTGAAAATTTCGATTTAGTTCTTATAGTTTGGACTTTTAATTTCAATTTCATCCCTACATTTTGGTTTAATCTCACAAAAATGATTTTTACTCATTTTACTTGACTCTAAACTCTCAGTAAAAAAGAAAGTCTCAGTCAAACTTTTGATACGGTAACAACCAAAGATTCCTGAGATTTGTTCACATGAGATCAATTTGAAGAATCTAAACCGATATAAATGAAATTGAAACTAAGTCTAAACCATGAAGATAAAATATAAATTTTTAAAATCAGAGGAACTAAACTAGAATTAAGCTCAAATTATGATTACTCTAATCTAAGAAAAATTAATTATCCGCAAGTACATAAGAATTAAGACATGAGCATGAACATAGTTGTACGCTGAAAAGTAAGAAGTCAAAATCTCCTCACATTCAAACTTAAAAAAGAAAGTAATATATCAAGAAAAGGCTTGTGAAAAACTTGTGTACTATTTATAAAGAATTTACTAGATTTGATTTTATATTTCCACTAATGAAATTTTAGTATTTGAATTTGAATTATTTTATAAAATCAATTCTTTTATTTTCATTTACCTAAAGAAAAGGTAAGAAAGTTGCACGTCTCTAGTTGTTCAAGAATAGTATAAACAAGTTTGTTATTATTAGGATATCTAAAGATAGGGATATGACATGGGTACTAGCGATTCGGTCGAATGAGTTGGGGAGCGATTATTGCATCATTGGGGATATTTTCCTCTATAGATACCGACATTGACCCAAAAATGAAAGTGCAATACTAGTGCAGACTATGATAGATATTGACATTGACTCCATAAATACTTCTTTGATATTTGCCTTTGATTATTTGCACATTTTTTTCACCAATGTGTATATATGTCTAATTACCACACTCATATTTGCACTTAGATTTCCATCACTATCAAATAATAAATAGTCTTGTTTAAATATTTGCATCAATTGGTATATATAGCTAACAACTCAAAAGTATTTGCACCCACCTCTTATTTGTATTCCTGTGTTCTAATTTGTTATCATCTTAGAGATCGCTACAACCTAAGTAAACAAAAAATCGAAGACTAATTGTCAACAAATATGAATAAATCTTTATAAAAGGTCAAAATGTGATTCCATTTTAGTTGCTGCTGGGATTTTATGCATAAAAACAATCCAATATAGTATCATATAATAGATCATCTACAAGTAAAGAAAAAGAATAAAAACCTCACAGTAAATATCTAGAGTAAATATGTCTCTTCTGTTGAAGACATTTATATATAAAATATTGAAACTATACCTCTTCCTACACCTTCTGGCCATAGATAGGTGTCTTAACCATTTGAGCTATGCTCGGTTTGACAGCTTAGAAAGCTAGCTTGAAATGGTATAAATTATAAAACCACATTTACAACTGATCTTTATTTCACTACTTTAAAATTTCTTTAATCCATTCTTTTTTGTCATTTCATTAATTCTCTAGCATCATTTTCATCTTCGTCATGGATCCTAGCATCCTAATATGCATTTTGTTCTTTTTCCAGATTTCAAAATTGAACTTTTATTTGGTGTGATTACTTTGAAAATAACTAGTAATGTAATCTTTGTTTAATTTCGATTTTGTAAATTGATTTCCCTACAATATAACGCAAATTTTTTGCTACTATTTCTTGCTTAACTATTGAGTTATGTTCAAGTTGACAACTACATCTAACAATCTTAAAGTTAATAAGCCACCTTTATTTTATTTTCACTCATTTTGATTTAATACAAACTTTCGAACAAGTGACTTGTATGCATATGTATATATATTTTTATATATATTTTTATGTTGGCAATGGCAGTCCCAAGTGCAAAACAAAATTATTTGATAATAAAAAGAAAGAGAGTCTAATAATCAAAATCAAAAGTTGCATTAGCTTTGATTGATTGAAATGTTTGGGGCCATCAATAGGATAAGGAGAGTGAGATTACTCTAGGAAAAATCTTTGTTAAGGATAGGGGATGAACATGAGGATTCTCACAAAAATACATTTCTACAAATTTAATAAATTTCAAAGAAAAAATGATTCATATCTACTTATTAGTTTGAACTTTTAAATGTTGTATTACGTAAAATATCATGAGCTTGGTCGAGCCCAAAAAATACAAGCCAAGTCTATGCTCGATCGACTTAAAATAATGTTCCAATTTAGACCGAGCCTGAGATTAGTACATTGATAGCCTATTTAGAAATCATAATTACATAAAAAGTTTGAAATGTATAAAATTTATACTTTTGTCATAAAACAACACTAATAGGATGGTACCCATCACCAATTTACCAACATATCCTTTTGTATTTACACCTAAATATTTTTAAAAAATTCAAAATTGGTTATTTGGGAGATTAGAATTTAAATCCGTTAATTTATGCCTAATTAGACTTTCCAAAAATATCAATTAACAAATCTCCAAAATCCCACAAAATCCTCATTCTGTCGCACGTTTCAAAAAACCCTTCTCCTTCTGTTGTTTCTTCTTCCTCTCCTTCCACAGACACCATTATTTTCATCCGTTCGAGCTTTTTCTCCGTCGTTCTTCTCTGTTTATCCCGTTCGAAAAAGGAGATTTTCGTCCTTCCTTCTTCTCTGGTCGTTTTTGCCTGCCTTCGTCTCCGACCGACATCTGCTTGACTTCATCTCCGGTCGCTTCCGTTTTTATCCGTCGCCAGAGCAATTCGTCTCCGTTTATCCTGATCGAAAGGTTTGCATTCCAACGGTTGTTTTCGATTTTTGATTTCGTGTGAACTAGTATATATGAGGATATATATTATAGTGAGTTTGATTAGGATATATCTTATAACTTAACTTGTATATATGTGGATATGCGAATATATACTATAGTGATTTTGAATGTATATATGCAGATATATGAGTAGATATATCTTATAACTCAACTTGTATATATGCGGATATACGAATATATACTATAGTGATTTTGAATATATATATGCAGATATATAAGTAGATATATACTGTGATTTTGAATATATTTTGTGAATATGCAGAGATATGTTTATTGAGACTTCAAAATATGTTCGTGTGATTTTGAATTGTCTTTTAAGATTGAGCACCAATGTGGAGTGAATTGAGGGAAATCAATATTTTTGAAGGGGTAAATTAAGGTTTTGAATGAATGAATTAAATGATTTGTTTGAAAATTAGTATGGGGTCTACCATAATCATAATTAAAGGATTATGATAATAATTTATGGAATTAAATCTTTTATATTTAAAAAAAACAAATAACTATAATAAATGTAAATGCAATAAATAAGAGTAAAATCGAAATTAAAATAAAATCTACATGCAGAAATCTAAAAGTGTAAAGTTAGAAAATTTTAGACATTTGTGTAAATAAATTTCTAAAACAGCCATCCGAAGACATTATCTCTATGAGGTTGGAAAAAAAAAATCAATTTTTACCGTAAACTTGACAGAGTATCAAATTTTACTATGAACTTTCAATTTCGTCCGATTGCACCTTAGTCTTGGATAAATATTACAATCTTCATCTTAAACTTTAAAAAATGTTGTAATTGTACCTTCTGATGGACTTTCATTCGTAGAATTATTGAAAAAAGTATTGATTATTTAATAGTCGATTTTGTACTTTCTAATTTTGTTAGAAGCTTGATTTCAATAAATTACTACATTTTTAGAGCTTCTTGCATTTTTTTTTTCGTTAAAATTAATGGGTGAATTCATAGAAATTGAACGGAGCTTAAAAATTACAACACTTACCCAAACTTATGATCCAATCTAGTCAAAAATTAAGGGAAAATTTATTTTTTCCTACAATTTTTTTTAATATAACATGTGAGGGTGGAGGATCCAACTCATAACCTCACTATGTTCACTTTGGCTAATATTTATTTATTTATTATTATTTTTTTAATTCAATAATGTGAAATGGAAAATCAAACCTTCAAAGGTGTCTTATTGGCTAATATAATAATAGAATTGGGCATAAGTATAATTATCACACGATCATAAAGATCAAACTAGTGAATCCTCTCAAAACATTGTTGGTTGACCAAAATAGGATGCTTTAATGAGGAAATTCAAAATTGTATGGCACTTGTGAGATCAAACTAAAGCTCCAATTTTATGCTACACAGTCTCTGCAATGTATTTTTATAATGAATTTACAGAAACTGTGAGTTGGAAGTAAATGGTTCAGATCAAACAAACTCCAATTCAATTTACTTCCTCTTTGTGACCTTCCCAAATTTCAACACTATTTCTCTACAGATCAGATGTTAATGTCAGTCTGCTTCAGCCTTTACACCTACTGCTGAATTCTATGCCCCTGATATGACCTTCAGCACCACTCAACCAATGGAAGATTGAAACGCAACACCATTCGGCTCAGTATCGACAAATTATGTGCTTCCCGACAACCTTACACCGGTCATCTCTTCCTTCTTGTTGCCATCTTGCACAAAGAACGTTTTGAATGGGAGTAGTTTGTTCATCTCTCTGTTGGTTCGACGATATTGAACTGTCTGTTTCGGTTATGAGGGTAAACTGTGTCGAAAACGATCCTAGCAAATACATGTCGAACCTCTGACAAGTTACCCAATGCCAAGGAATTGTGGTTGATCGTTCTACTTCTTTTGGGAACTGCTCCACTTTCCTTGCCCCTTTTAACACATTCAAAAATTTTACACACCCTCATTGACAAAGCCTGTGGGATAAAAACCTGCAGAAGGAAGCAACAATAGCAATAGAATTCATTACAGATGTGAGCATGGGAAGTTTAGCAATAGTGGGACAGCCATTTACAAAGATAAACTCAGTACTTGAAGAAAAATTAATTTAAATAGAAATGGCTCCATAAATTCTGTGCCCATCAAAGAGAATGATTGTGGATAGCACCTAGACATAAATATCTTACGAAGTTCGAACATAGAAGCTTGTCGTAAAATACAATGGGACCTCAATATCCATTGATAGGTAAAATAAAATATGGCATTCATATTTCTAACAAAGTATGGACAATGGAGTTTCACTGATGCATCAAGTGGGCCAGAAATCTTCTGATTGTTAGAAACTTTAACAATTACCTAAATCTTCACTCAAAACATGGTTTTTCGGGTTGGTTCGCTTCTTTACACCCCTATTAAAAAGTATTTTTTAGTACTCTTGAATAAAGTATTTAGGCAAAAAAAACACTCTACATACTTTCTCATGGAACACTATAGGGTGCTTTTGATTTTTTTCTAAAAGTGCTTTTATCTCTCTCCAAAAACAGGATTATTTTGAGTGAAAAGTGCTTATGGCAGTTTTAAAAGTACTCCAAAATACAGTGAAAAGATCACCAAAATCAAAGTATTGACAGAACATTTTTGACCCTCACCAGATCAGACCAAGGTGCTTGAGGATACTCGATCATAGCTTGCGAAACATAATGGTGATCAGTCATCTTCCATAACATGGCTTTCACTGAAGCTGCAAGATTGACGACCCGTGCCATCAGTACATAATCTGATTCTCTGTGATTAGTTTCTACTATTTCGTGGAACGACACGTGTGGCTGTGAGATATTTCGGGCTATTTCTATTGCTTCATACAAGGATCCTCCATTATGGAGAGCAAGGCTAAATGCTGCAACAACCAATGGATCTTGAGGCTCGTCAACCAAAGCTGTGTGAAATGCTAAGATAGCAATCCTGAAATAAACCACTAAAACTTGGAGATGATCCAGAAAACCTCATCTGACAAAAACAGGAAAATTATAATCTAACATAAGAGCTTCCATTTTGCATTGTTGATTAAATGAATCTTGGTTCCTCATGCACTAGATTAGGAAAGATCTTTTATGCATCTGGTTCATATCAACTTAGAAAGGACTAACAGAAAAAAAGGCAATAAATCAAAAACGAAAAACTTCATTTCCGTTAAACAGCGAATAAGAACTCGTGAATGGTCAATTATAATCGAGATGTCTTGACCAAAAGATATAGTTGTTCCCTCTTTAAACATTGTCATAGGGTTCCAAGAGGGGCAGTTACCACTTAGCCAAGATTTCAATGATTAGCTTTTCTATTTTGGTTTTTCCAGCAAACTAGTCCACAAAACCAAATTATTGCATATTGCAAAGACAGCTTCTATCAAATTTTAACATGCAAAATTAGCTTGTTAACTTGATTTACAACATATTTAGGAATATTTAAGTAATCTAAAAGTAATTATAGCATTCAAAAGATATATTTTACCATAAGCTGCTATGGCATGGTCGATTAGGCGCCACAAATTTATCAAGGTTGGAAAGCAAAATCTGCAAGATTGCAAAGAAAGGGAGTCGGTCTCAGGTGTAATTGTAATTTTTTTTGCCAGAAAATAAAAATCACAGTGGATATATTAATTGCCAATATAGCAGAATTTTGCAACCAAGTTGCTAAGTTAAACACATTGTGACACCATATTATCCAATCTAAGGAAGTAGGGAAACAAGAACAAGAAAGATGTACTTTATAAGGATTCTGATAGAAATGAGATAGCCCAGAAAGAATTTTGTATGGGGTGGGGGGCAGAGGATGTGAGTTGACATGAATAGGGATGCAGACATGATGTAAGTAGAAGTGTTTTAGATGTGTGATCTCTTGTAAGATTTTACGGTTATTAGTAAGGTCAACGGTCTTTTATGAAGTTAGAGAAATGGCTTGTAAGAATTTCCTTGCATGGAGTAGGAAGATAGGCAAGAACTGTGGTAGAAAAGGAGAGTCCCAGACCTCTCAAAAGGCTGTAGAGTTTGGCTGTTTTTCTTTCTTTTAACAGTTAATAGAACATTGCCCTTCGAGGGTTCTATCAGATTCATTATGCCCAACAATTTTGCTTAAAAGAAGGAAAAGAAAGAACGGGTTATTCTCATAGATATAACATGGAAGTATAAATGCCAATAATGAAAAATACTGCAGCACTAACCAGAAGCATGTTTGAGCTCGCATCACGTCTCCTGAAACCTTGTGAAACAAAATATGATGCCTACAAGATACAATAACTAATTAGGACAAGAAAAAATTAAAAAAAAAAGGAGAAAAATTTGCAACATTAAACTTGTGTTTAACATAAAAAATATTAGACCAAGAATTATATACTTGGATCGGAAGAAGTATCTCCAGAAGCCCAAATCTCCATAATAATCTCAAAGAAGCCTCTGCAGACCCAAATGCTAGCATATAATTCATTTCCATAAGTATCCGTCCCTGTAACATTAAAGAATAAACAGAAAATTAGCCCAAGGAGATGAAAAAACCATATTACCTGGTATTTGGAATGTCAGAATCTCAGATACCTTGTCAAGCTTTAACACGGAGCAAGATAACTCTTTTATAGAAAGTGCTATGTCTCTGGTAAAACGAAATCCTAAACGGGCTGCAATTCTCACCGCACGTAAAATCCGGGCTGTGGAATTAGATTGCAATAAGTTAAGATGCTATGCCATGTACGGGTAAACAAGAGAAAAAAGAATGTTTCCCATACTACTAATTCTAGAAAGTACAAAATAGCAAAATCTGTATCTAACATTTGCTCACCACAGTCCTCAGTAAAAGAAAGGTTTGCAGGTTTAATAGTTCGCACCTTCATTCAGAAGTAAGAGGAAACAAAAATTACACGTGCTCAACAACTGATTGGAAAAAGCTCTAGAACTGAACCTGGTTCAATAAATGCACACCTTGGATTTTCTAATATCCTCCATTGCCCCCAAATAATCATATACAATCTTTTTGTATGGATCATACATCAAACTGCAAGGGTTAGGAAGACATGCAGTAAATGGTTACAACCAACATTTATACCTGAGAGGCAATAGTACAGCAAAGGCAAGAAAAATTTAAATAGCTAAGAAGTATTATATCAATATCAGAGTTCCATTTTCTTATTTACAAAAGAAAACGAAGACAACAAAAAAAAGAAAGAAATATTGGTATGTAACAAGAAAATGAAGACAACAAAAAGCGAACAAGACATCTTAGTGTGTAACCTGTTAATGGTAAAGTCCCGCTGTGAGCAATTCATCCAGCGAATATAATCGGGCTCATTTAAGTTGGAAGGTTTGGTAATGTAATTATTAAAACCAAGTCTGCTTCCAGAGGTGCTAAAGCTTGAAACCTTTCCATAATGCACCAAGAATGAAAAATAAGTAGATGCATTAATCGTCTTGAAGATAACCATTAGTAAGGAACTACTTGATGAAGCCTTTCTAAAGCAACAGATAGAAATAAATTAATTCTCTAACCTCTATAATAGTGTCAAGGACATACACATGGCAAATTGGAAACCGCTTTCCAACAACTAGACAACGAGTAAAAATTTTCCGTACCTACATATGTTAAATTGATAATGAACTTCAGCCATGGTATTTCAACCCAACAAGAATAACAGTTTAGTACAGTAGAAAAATGATATAAAAGATAAAAAAGAAAGGAAGACGAAGCTATGATAAGAATATGGCAGAATGGAGCTGTTTGTTGTTCTGTAGAATAGTTTTAAAAACTATTAAGAAATATGATTATATGGAAAAGAAAAAACCAAAGGTAGAGAGTAACATTTTTTAGATGTTTTTTTTTCTTAATAAGAAACTGGCTTTCATTGAGACACAAAGAATGTACCGAAGCAACAAAAAAAAAACCATAAAAGGAGCTCCAATCCAAAAGAATTACACCTAACTAGTAATTTCAGAAATTCTCAATAACCTAAGCCTGCAAAAGTACTAAATCTAATAAGCTCCAACGTAACCTCCCAAGACCTCTCTACTCTAAAAATTCTATGGTTTCTCTCGATACATATACTCCATGAAATAGCAAAAACAAGCCTACCAAAAGTTTTGCCCTTATCTCGAAAGGGGAAATATAGAAAAATCTCCTCCATCATCGCCCAACAATCTATGTTTCTTGCATTGGAGACTCTGAAAGACTCCAAAAATTGACCCCGAATCGACCAAGGAAACTAATACCTCCAAAGAATATGATCAAGGTCCTCACAAGCACCTCTGAGTAGAATACTTTTTTTAGATAAGAGGGAAAAACACCTTTGAATGCAGTCTAAAGTATTGACTTTTCCATACAAGACTTGCCCGGCAAAGAACTTGTTCTTCTTCGAAATTTTAACGTTCCAGCATGAGGCAAACAAAGGAGCATCTGGGAAATGCGAGAGGACGCTCAAAAGAGGATGAAAGAATGACAAGAAAATCCGCCCGACAAACTATGGGACCAAACTCGAAAAATCATTCCTCCTTGATAAAGACAGACATCTCTAAGCAACAAAAGCAATTCCAAAGCCTCCAACGCCTTTCTGTTCGTCAAAGAACTGAGCCCCAAGGAAATGGAGTGATAATTACTCGAAGGCAACATAACTACGGCCACAAAATGCAGGCTCATGTCTGAAAGATAGTACAACAGAGAGTATAAAGCGCAAAGGGGTTTGTCACCCACCCACGAATCCTCCCAAAAGTAAGAATCAGAGTCATCCCCAATGAAACATTTCAAAAACTGGGAGAAGGGGAAAATAGAAGAAATAGACTTCTAGGATTTCTAGCTGATATATTTATCCCATTAACTGAGACCCAATCGAAAGGTTGCGACCAATATTTGCTAACGATAATGCTATGGCACAAGGCATTTGATAAGAACCACTCCTATTTTACTGATATTCAGAGAGAGAATTACAAAGCCAAGAGAGAATTTGAGAGCTCCATACCCTTCCAGTATACCTCACCAACAACTTAGCCAAAATGATACACACGCACTCTCTCTCAGCCGACATATACAAGCACATGTAGCCCCTAACCGTAACTAACTCGGACCCACAAATTTACCAATGTCTCGACCTCACGCCTCACATGCACTCTTTTTCCTAGGACCTAGGGGCCTATAAGCATCAGGTTCCCATAAGAACCGCCACAACCATCTAGCAAGCAACGCCTCATTATGATGTCTCAAATTTCCAATACTCAAAGCCCCCATATCCAAAGGCCTTGAAATAATCTCCCACGTAACTAAACATTTCTTGAGATGTTAAAGGAATTTGAGTGAGCTGAAAAATGTAATTACTACATAAACATAAACAGAGCTGAGCAGCTATAGTGAAAAAAGAAGAATTCTTTTTACAAGGCACTTTACAAATCCATCAGCTCTAAAGTGACAAAAAGAAGAATTCTTTCTAACAAGGCACTTTACAATTCCATTAGCAAAGTTTTAGTTGAGAGGGGTACGCTCTATAGCATTTTAATAACGAGAAGAAAAAAAAGAGATGAGCTGTAACTTGAATAAGTGGTTCGAAGAAGTTGTGAATTGGAGAAATGAAGATTGCACATGAGAACTCACTCAACATAGTAAAGATATAAGGACAAGTAATAGATATCTAACTACGACTCTCAATGTCATTATTTAGTCCTTTTTTTTCCAGTTGTCTCATAAAGCAACAGGCTCCACCAATAGCCAAGGTTTATCCCCTCAAAAATAAGTTTGAAGAACATTAGTAGGATACCAAACAGCAGCCAAGTTTTATTCCCTCAAAATTTGAAACTAGAAGATCATTAGTAAGATATGAGGCCAAAACCTTCTTTCTATCCTTTATGACAAGTACTCCTTTAATGGAAACTAAGTGCTGCAAAAATCAATCTGAATACAAAAATGGCTATATCATCATGCCACATATAACAAAATCCAAGTAAAAACAACAATCATAAACTTATAGATAGAACCTCTCTAAGTTGAGCTGAAGTTATGATATCAAAGTCTTTAGGAATTCTCCTTAGGATAAGATCCCGGACACACCCACCAACAAGGTAGACCTCATATCCTACACGTCAGAATATACCCAAAAACAAATTAGGTACTAATAAAAGATATACGGTAGAAACTCATTAAAATGTCTCCAGGTATTCAATGCTGGAGATCAAGCTCAAAGGTCTTCTTACGACTAAATATTTAAATAAATTTCAAAATTCAGAAATATAATTAACAAGGTTATATTAACCCTAACATCTGGTAATTTTGATTTCTAAAACATGGAAGAACAAGTCTGAAGAAAGGTTGGATAGAAGTAAATATTTCTGTAAACTCAGAATATGGATTAAGGAGATTGGACACTGGTGCAGTACTCTAGATTAATTTAGTGTTCAAACGTTAGCCATCAAGTTAATGCATCACTAACATCACATCATCATTTTAGAGAAATAAAGAGTACCTTGTTTCCTTAGCCCACTTAGAACCTGCCACGTAGGCTTTGAAATCATCGATGTTTCAATCCCAAGTTCCTCAGAAGTCAATGTCTTCCATTGAGGTATTGAGCTATCAGTCCGCTCTATTTCTTCGCCATTTAGAATCAAAGATGTCAGGTTAGTATACGCTATAAAGCTTCAACCCTTCAAGCTGACGTCTTCAATTACCAAATGAAATGGAAATTAAAAAACACGTTCATAAGAAAGGGATTTTTTTGTTCACCTTTTCTACGGAAAGCAAATGAAATACAATCCTTATCTTTCTCCTTACAGAGAATTGCTGGTTCAGAAGTAGAACCAGTGGCTACAGAGCTTCCAAGCCGTACCTATAGAGTCAGTAGTTTACTCAAAAATTTCAGATTATAGATATCCAAGAAGACACAAGGCGGTCAACATCCATATAAGTGGTTCTACCAAGGCGGTCAACATCCATGGGAGTGGCCAGAGAAAGATGTTCTAATTCCCTTATACACACAAGGGAACATTCCAATCTCCATAATGACCTCTCCTCACTCTTGTATTACTTCAGTTTTCGTTTTCTCTCATGTCCACAGAAATTAACTACAAATTTACACTTAGACTGACATTGACTTCTAGTTAAGCGGCAGATTCAACCCATCATACGCTTAGCTTCTAACATGTACAGAGGAATATTGTAAAAATTGGTTGCGACAAACGAAAGTATTTCCAATTGCGTTGAGATTAAAACCCTCTGTTCCGGTTTATATCGTCCGCCATTTCTCTCATCATGAAAGCAGATAATCAGAAGTAAAAAGTGGGAAAGAACCAAAATAGACCTTGCGAATGCAAAAAAGCAGCGGAGAACGAGTGAAATGCATCCTCCGATTGAGACCTGGAGCAGAAAATGCCATAGCCATGGAAAACCAAGGAAGCAAAGGCTCACGAGATCATTAAGCGCCGAAATGATAAGATTGAAAGCTCTGGACAGGGAATGTTTGAGGTTTTACGAATTGGATATCACAAAAGATTAGGGAGAGCGACAGAAGGAGAACTGGATTCTAGCTGATGAAGGGAGCTGGATTTCCTTCCTCAATCTCTTCGTGAAATTGAACTGAATTTAAGCATCAAATTCTATTTTTACAAAGTTTTTCGCAAATATGGCAAAAAAAAAATTAATAATAATAATAAAATAAGTAAAATAATAACCCGTCTAGTTTTTTCAAATATAACATTTTTTTCAGAAAAACTGGAGGTCTAATCATAAAATTACTAATTCATCCTTTAATATATCTGATATATATTTGTATTATATCTGACCATTGATATATATCTGATATACTATTGATATAATAATGATATACAATTGATTTATTTTTGGTATAGTCATGATATCTACCCAACTTCTAACATGTCTTACCACTTATATACGTATGATAACCATTGATTTACGATGTTGATACAATACATATATATGTTATATATATTTGATAGGTCTCTAATTTACCCTTGATATACAAAAATGATATACCACTGATATAACTTCTTATATGATTATATCATTTACCAATAATATAACACTGATAATATGATTCTAATTTATCACTTATATACATTTGATATAACCATTATATCTACTAATATAACTATGATATATGTCTGTTGATATCGTACTATTCTGATGAAAACAATGATGCAAGATTTTTTATTTTTTATTTTTGAAATATAAAGTTGTTATATAAAAGGTTTAAGTGGACCATGCACTCAAAAAGACAAGTTAAAATTTTGATATACTTTATAAATTTAAACAGTTGATATTCCTTATATTTAGTATCTAATTAATATTAATATTGAATAAATAGTAGTGATATAGTAATCAACATTATTGATAATATTAGTATATTAATCAACAAATTGAAATGATAAACTAGAATTTAAACAACTGATATACCACTAAAAATTAAACATTTGATAGTATATCAATTGGAAATATATTTAGTATATCATAAATTAGGAGTACATCAGATATATTTATTATATGTATAATACGTACATTTGATGTATATCAGTGGTATATCTGATAATGTATATCATGGTACATCTGATACTGTATATTAGAGTTACATCGAATGTATATCGGAAGTATATCAGAGTTACATCGGATGTACATTAGATATAGATTTGATGTATATCATATACAAATTTACATCAGATATAGATTTGATGTATGATATACATTGGATGTATATCAGTTATAGATATACATCAGATATATATCAGATATTATAAGGGTAAAATTGAAATAATAAAAATTCAAATATTTTCTATATTTGAAATTTTGAAAAGCTGGTTACATTTTTTTGAAATACATAAAATATTTTTGCTATCCACCACAATTATCCAAGTTTTTTTTAGTGCAGCAATTGGGATCGGGTATTCGAACTCATGACCTTACGGTGGGAAACATATACCAATTAGCGTTGAGTCAAATTTATACTGGCTCTATTTTTATAAATTACATTACAAATTAAGTCATTTTAACATTCATATATCCTAATCTATTCATATTTGGACTTTTAATTTTGATTCTAATAATTCACTTCTAGTAAACATGCCGTGATGAAGATTTGAAATGTCATGTTAGTCGGAGATAGGTGCTTTAACTCATTGAACTAGTTGACATAATTGACTTCTATTTAAATATTGATATATTATTTGACACAAAGTGATACAAGAAAATAAGTCAGCAAGATAAAATAACAGTGCTCGAAGCGAAAAAAAAAACTAGATTTAAAATATAAGCTAAAATATCATTTTAGTTTGTAGACTTTGAGATATAATGAAGTGTAGTTAGCATGTATCTTTCTATTTAGTCAACTAATAATAAATTTAACTAAAAGATAATAAAAATAAAATTTCACCTTCAGATCTAAAATGTTCGTTTTGAAAATTCAATGACTAAATAGAAACCAAATCAAAAACCATAATGAAAAAACATTGCTACGGAACTTGAAAAAACAAATAAAGAAACAAGTCTAAGCTTGGTGGACCAAAAATGTAATTTGACATTCTTATTTCTTAGAACAAAATTAAAAAAAAAAAACAAAAACGAATAAGTAGTGTGTAGTATAGTCCTTTTCAAACATAGTTTGCAAATGATGCTCCCTTTTCAGATGTCACCGTACCAATGATTTCAATCAAATAATTTATTGAATAGATGAATTGTTTAATCATGTTGGAAATTTGGCCTTCTTGGTTCTCGCCAAATGTGCACCAAACTTGATAATCACAGGATCAGATACTTGTAAAACCGAACAACTCTAACCCGGTGTGACCTCTGTCACACTAGCTCCGATGCTTAAGTTAGTGATGAGAGGATTATTAAGTGAAGTACTTAGGGTTTCTTTGCTTACCTCTAGGATTCAGCCAGTGATTCCATTTATAGGAGTTTTGCCTTCTAGAACCTTCTCGTTGAGTCCATCTATCCATCGTTACTGGATCACAGGGATTCATGGACCGAGGCACCTCACCCAATAGGAGATGAGTGAAAGTAGGCTCGGACAATGGGGCCGAGCCCG